GATCCAGCCCTGGGTGCTGGAACACCCATCTGGAGACCCCTGCCAGTGCTGAGATGTTTACACATTCACTGACTCGGCTTTCCTCCTACAGTCAGCATCATAGTGTGTGTTTTGTGAGATGGAGGAGGACTTTGTGGATCGGTGTTGGACATATGGGTTAATGTTGGACTTGTGGGCTTGGGCAGCACTGGGTTGGATGTTTTCTTGATGTACACTTAACCTTTATATAAAACTCTTTCTTATACATGAGTTGCTGTGGATGTGTTTCTGTAAAGTACCCAGACTAATACAGTTATACAGCAATGAGAGGGGGGCAATCTAGGGATATACACGCAATAGGAAGGGGAGGTATTGGGGGTACACATGTGACAAGATGGGTGGATCCTAGATTCAGGATGGCAGCCTAACTTTGGATGTCATTGAGCAGGCTTGACCTGTATTCTGGCTCACTATATAGACCATTATCAATAGGTGTAAACCCCACTTACAGGGACCAAACCAAGACTGCAAGCCTTCAGGGAGAAGTAGCCCATTGTCCTTAACAGCAGGGAGTGGGCCCTACTGTGGTGGGACCAGACAGTAGTCCAGCAACTGACTGCCTTCAGGGAGGTAACTTGACCATCATTTACCATTAGCTGTAAGCAGTGTCCTAAGTCTAACATCTATTTGGGGAGAGGACTTGGGAGAAATCTTCCTGTTTGCCACACTCTGGGTTATAGCGGCCCTGTGGGAGTGAAAAGTACGGTCCCAGTAGGCTTCCAAAAGCTAGATGTGCGCAGACCGCCACCTCTTGGGCGAGTGCTTTAACCACCAGGGCTCCTGGGGACGAAGGCAGCTGTCGCCTAAAGAAATGGCGCGGTTTCATTCATGTGCCCGTGTGACTCGTGGTCTGTTGAGATAGGTGTGTACAAAAGGGCTGTAACCCTAGTGTTCAGGACAAGCTGCTCTGTCTTCTGGGGGAGGAAGATTATTGGCAGAGGGGCCGGGGGAGGTTTTTTTCCTTCCCTTCTAGAAAAACACCTGCAGTGGCTTCTTTGGGAGTGAAAGGTGGGTTCCTGCATCCAGGGAATCTCCTGCCAAGAGAGCACGGGGGCCGGTGACCTGGGCAGCAGGTCAGGAGACAGTGGCTGGGGGCAGGCGTGGCAGGCAGCAGAGGCGTAGGGAACAGAGCGGGCGAGGACGGGGCTGGGGTGGATGGGAAAGGGCCACGCAGGTCCAGAAATGGTGTTTAGGAAATCCTGCTGGGGTAGAACTAGGGGATGGCAGGCGAGGGGTGTGGGTGTTGGTCGGGGAGGGGTGGGGGTGTCACCCTCTGTGGGCTGGGCAGCCAGCCCTGGAGAAGGCAGGCTCATGGATTACAAGGGTGCATCCCATACGTCCCCTTTGGGAGGGGACGGGGACCCGGAGGCTGGAGGACTTGGCCACATCAGATCCATTTCTGGGCAGGGTGCACACAGCTCTTCCGTCTCCCCGGGGCACCTGTGTGGGGACGCTGGGTGACCGTGCAAGCCTGGTCTCCCATGAGTCTGTCAGTGGGGTCCCCTCTCCGGGTTGAGGGTTTTGTTCGGCCACACTGATTCGTGACAGGTGGTGCCAGGAGCCCGGTTGGCACAGTGGTTACGCGCTCGGCTGCTCACGGAAAGGTGTGTGGTTCGAACCCACCTGGCCGCTCCCAGGGAGAGCAACCTCATGATCCGCTCCCCTAGAGATCGCAGCCGATGATGGCAACATGTGTGCAAATGTGCTTAACACGGAGGGATGGAGGGATTTTGATAAGAGCCGGGAGAGCCCCCAGTAAAATGATTAGAAAAAGAAAAAGATTGCGCGTGGGGAAACCTCTGGGGCCGTTTGAGTGTGTCACACGAGGTCACCAGGAGTCAGAGCCGACTTAAGTAAACAAACAAACCCTCACTGCCATTGATTCTTTCCTTACTCAGCAGTCCTCCAGGTCTGAGTAGACACCCACCCCCATGCCCGTGGGTGTCCCAGACTACGGTCTCTTTTTTGGTTTGTTTTTTACCGTTTTATTGGGGGCTCATACAGCTCTTACCACAATCCATCCATCCATCCACTGTGTCAAGCACATTTATACATATGTTGCCATCATCATTCGCAGAACATTTTCTTACGACTTGAGCCCTTGGTATCGGCTCCTTAATGAGCGTGGAAGCTCACAGGGGTGAGGATGGGTGCTTGAAGCAGCCGCCAGGGGGCGCCCGCCTCTACCTCTGGAGCCATCGCAGCCCCGTCCCTGGGGGAAGGAGGAGGGGGTTCACTCTGGGAGCCAGAAAAGCAGACCCTGTCCATAGTCATTGCCACCACCGAGGTTTCAGAAGTAAGTGGTCAGACCTTTCTTCTGAGCGGACTCCAGCCGAACCTTTTGGTCCTCAGTCGGGCAAACCCACCAGCTCCTAGCCCAGGGGAACACTAGCAGGGGACCCCAAGTCCTGATGATTTGACTGCTGGCCAATTTCCACCCAGTGCTGACTCTGAGCTTGCAGCCACCGTGGCACAACAGATCAGCACTCCACGGCTCCCTGCCAAGCCGGCGGTTCAAACCCACCAGCCGCTCGCCAGGAGGAAGACGAGGCTGTCTGACTAATGTACAGATGTTCAGCCTTGGAAAACCCTACGGGGCAGGTCTCCTCTGGCCTACAGAAGCAGTAGAACACACGATCG